TACGTTGCTGTTTGGGAAACGCACCCCTGATTCTGAAAAACCTATATCCTAAATAAATCACAATAAATTTTCAGACACCGACATTAAATATACTAAAGTAACTTATATGGAATGTTATAGTGGGTTTTTTTTTTAACCATAACGACACTAATAGAGATGATGTTGCTACAATTGTTTTTTTTTTTTTATGTATGGGCGATATATTGTTTCACCAAATATGATTGAGCTCATGTCTATGTGTTGTACGGTAAGTCGATACATTGATTATTGTGACAGGCCTAGATATGATGCAGTGAACATAGATTTAACACATACAGTGAATAAATAAAAATAAAAGAATATCCACACACCTGAATATCAAACTATCAAATTTGAACTTTTTACTAGAATATGAACAATAAAACACAATTTAAAAAATTGCAATAAGATGCAACTGCACATTTTATATAGAACACAAATTTTACATTAGAATTTCAAAATGACCACCAGTGATATCTGTGATGAAAATACCATTTTCTATCAAATTTTTGAATTCTGAATGGTAAATAGATCAATTTTATGTAAGATATGAAGGTAATGAGACAAGAAAGATTTTGACTTTCTGTTTCCAACATCCCATGCACACGTTCACACCATTAATAATCGATTAATAATATTAACAATAAAAAATACTATGTTCAGCAATATAAACATTTGATATTGCATTATGCACTATGTGAACATGCACACTTCTATTACCTATTAATTATTACTGTAAAATACATTGTGGAAATGTTTTTAAGGGATTAATCATCAACTGTGTTCTTATTTTGTCACCAAATAAACTATTGATTGTTTACTTTTATTGTTTGTTATTCAGTCCTTTACCTCGATTTTACCTAACCTATTAGAACAACAACAAAACTGGTCCTCCCATGCTTAAAACAGCCCAGTTTTCCAGTATACCACAATATTGCCATGGTACAGGTCCTAAAAAACAAGGTAGACATAGCGTCGATACAACATAGCTTCACATGGGTGTAGTATTATGTGCACTAGAGCAAGATATCTTGTGCAAATGTGACATAATTATGTTTATCGTACTTGGTTTTAAGATGCTACGTTAACGTTAATCGGTTCAGCTGAAAAAAATGATCGCCTTACAGGATTAATACGTCCAGGGTAAGCTGTTTTGTGAGACCGAGAGTCAAAGGAGGGCACAATACTTCCTTGTTTCGCAAAGCAAACAAATTACTGTACCTTATTCTTTCAGCAGTGGTACAGTTCCCTGTTTTGGGACTTAAGTAGGCTAGAAAGAGCACGCGCATTTCAGCGTGTGATAGTAAAATGCTGACGCTGATAAACAATGAGAGCAGAGACCGACAGTGAGCGACTCTCTCTGGACTCTGTTGATCTCATGCTGTCACGTCAGCGACCAGCCTCCCGAACCCGGACAAACCAAACGCGCGTGCTGTTTATTTAAGCACGGGTCCGTTTGTAATGTAGACCCTCCGGAAACACGGAACTATTTAGTAGGCGCGACATTGAAATGATAATGTGCTACTAAATCATATCTAAACGTATGTTTTTTTTAGTCCGAGTCCTATTTATGTGGATTGTGGTCCTCCTTGGAGATGTTAGCTGGAAATTGTAGCATATGTAAACATGAAACAAAGCAGGAATGAATGAACAATTAAATTAATCTATTAATAAATGCACAATTTTATTGTATCCTATAAATGTTTAAGTATCACAAATAAACAAACATTATAAATTATACACAATCCTCTACCCTATATGCAGGGGCGGATTTAATCAATAAGCAAGGTAACCAGCAACTTAGGGCCCCAGAAAATCTAAGGGCCCCTAAATTAATACCTAGAAGTATAAATGATACCTTTAAATTACATATTGCATTATCTTCTGTCATATTTTGTTAGGTGGGGGTCTAAAATGTTTAACTTGAACGTAATTATAACATCTGCTCAAATGTTCCCTCCACCTTTAATCATAGTCCAGTCTAACAGTCAAATCAGTAAAGATTTAGTTTTATTCACATTTGTTATTTTTTGTTGTGAATTTATTTTAGGAAAACAAATAATTTCAAAAGTTTTACAAGATGCTTTACACGTTTTTGTTTTACGTTAAGATAACGTAGAAAAAGAAAGGAAAGGGGGGAAAAAATCATTTAAGTACAAAGTGCCTTTAGAACTTTTGGGCCCCATGGCTGTAATTGCTTAGGGCCCCAAAACCACTAAATCTGCACCTGCCTATATGTAATTTGTGACCAGATGGCTATGCTGTAATAGTAAACTGTTAAAGGTTACATAATACAATGCATCAAATAATCTTAAAATGGTAAATACAAGTGTCTGGCATAAGTTAAAGCTTTGTTTGTGCTGTTGTTGTTTAATTGAATATGTTTTTAATATTTTCTGTTTTCTATTCAAATTTTCACATGTATATTTTTATTCAGTTTAGCTTTAGCTATTTGATTTTAATGTTAGAGAAACAGAAATGACAAACAATTCCAAAGATACTAATGGACAGTTTCCACTGAGTGGTACGGTACGGTACGGTTCGGTACATGAGAAAACGGTACCAAAAGTTGGAGCAACACGTGCAGATGAATGCTGATTGGTTACAGAGAATCGTCACTTGTGCATGCATCAAAGACAAGAAACAACACAGGAAGCAGCGCCATTAAAAAAATAAATAAATAAATCAGCAAAAACTATAGAACAAATAATGTCTGCGTGCTGCAATCAACCGTGGTCGACGTGAGAGGTGCAAACCTTCCTGGCCACATCGGAAAAGAGAGTGTGCAATTAGAGCTTGATGACATGGTGAGAAATGAAAAGGTTTTTCAGCATGTTTCTAAAAGAAATAAAATATGTTTTTAATTATATGAGGACTAAGCCAAACAAAATTATAAATGATTGTTTGTTTACGCCTCACAGCAAGAAAGTAGCTGGTGATATTTCTGTGTGGAGTTTGCATGTTCCCCCAATGCTCGTGTGGGTTTCCTTCAGGTGCTCCGTTTTTCCCCACAGTCCAGACATGCACTGTAAGTGAATTGGATGAACTAAATTGCCCGTAGTGTATGAGTGGTGTGTAATTGCGAGAGATTATAAGTGTTTCCCAGTACTGGGTTGCAGCTGGAAGAGCATCCGATGTGTAAAACATATGCTGGATAAGTTCATTCCACTGTGGCGACCCCTGATAAATAAAAAACTAAGCTAAATGAAAATGAATATAAATGAATTCTGACAGCAAAGGTGATTTTTTACCAGCTTTTCTTTCAGAGACTAATGTCACCTTCATAAATCCTTATAATACTTGCAGGTCTTTCAGTTTTATAAATAAATAATAGAATCAATCAATCAATAAATCAATCAATCCATTCATCCTTCCACCCACCCACCAAACCAACCAACCAATCAATCATATCTACTAGTTTATACTAGTACAGTAGTTCTAAGTAACAACATGCATAACTCATCTATATGTTTAATAGTTCTGAAGTCAGTTCCCATGAGAGAGAGGAGCTGTGAAAGAGGGACATGCTGACTTTCACACAGTGTTATCATGCCACAGCAAATTGCCACTGGCACTTCCTTATAGTACAGACCGTTTGAAATTGAGTTCATGAATTTCATACATTTTAATGGGTCGGAATGAGAAAGGAGGGCTAAAGTTGAGAATGTTTTATTCACCTCTTGATCCTTCCAAATCTGTCAGCTACATAAAACAGAGGAGCTCTTGGAAGGCTTGTGCCCGTGTGTGATCTGACATGATTGACACTCAAACACTTTTTCTAAAGTTAATTTATGAGTTCAACAGTTCATTTTTCATAAGAATAATTTAAAATGAACTGGGTCAGCACAACCTTAATGACTAATAAGGAAATTGCAGAGCCATGCATTTTTAATGCAAAAATTATTATTTTTAGAATGTCTTTTGCTGAGTATTATAACATTAACAGGCAAATAGAATAAATACTTTATAATATGAATTTATAGATACATGCTGATGTGCAACAACGATAAAAGAAAACAAACAAACATAGGAGTAAAAAAACAGATTTTTAAATAATAATAAGACAATTTAATCTATAAGCTATTTAATATCAGATAGCTAACATTTTGTTGTGTAAATAATTTTACTCTCTAATTATTTTTTTATATTATAGGCTATTAAATAAATTATATAGCTTGTATGTTGCATTATTTATAATTTCTTTTTTGTTTAGTCTAGCTTTTGAAAACTGTTGTTTAGAAAATGTTGTGTTTATGTCAAGATTTATTATTTTTCATGTTATTATTCATTCATTCATTTTCTTTTCGCCTTAGTCCCTTTATTAATCTGGGGTCGCCACAGCGGAATGAACCACCAACTTATCCAGCATATGTTTTATGCAGCCGAAGCCTTTCCAGCTGCAACCCATCAGTAGGAAATTCACATTATTATTTATGTCAGTATATCAAACAGTTTTATAGATATTTTAGGCGTATGAAAATGAATCACATTAAGGCATATTTAGGCATTTGAAAAATAATTTAGTTTCAAAATATTTATAAGTGTTGATGATGCTTAGGCTGATACAACTATATATTATATATATTATTCAAACGTAGGCTACAATTATGTATCCAATAATGTGCAGCATAAACTACTTACTCAGCATTACAAAAACTTGATATGATAAGAGTGTTATTCTCTCTAATATTCTCGATTTCTTCTGTTTTTAGATGCATATGAAAGCATTTTATAAAAAGGGGAAGTGTATGTGCAGAATTGACTGGCTGCAAAACCAGCCAATCGAATAAACTTCTTTTTCTCATTTATCCAATCAGCACTGGCTTTTGGCTCGCTGTCAGGTTGATTTACGACGGAATCTTCACTTTGTATATAAATGGATCAACCTGATACTCCACACAAGACTCGCTAGAGTCCCGCTCAGATGGTATTGAGATCTGCTGAATGCGCTGCGGGCGCGTCACTTTGACGCTTATGAGTGAACCGGGTGTCACGCGGTAGTATTGTGACTGGCTGTTTACTCTCAGAGCAGACAGCTAAACTTCATATCGCCAGGCTTTTATGATTTTTAAGGTACCATCTGTTTTATAAAATGTATCCGGAGACATAAGCACGTCGCGGGCTGAGCAGCTAAATGTGGTGCAGTGCTGAGTGTTCAACAACGGTATGTTTACGCAAATATTTTGTTAGCATGTTTACTAACTAAACTATGGAAGTTGCTGACAACATGCCATGGACTGTCATTGCCTTGTGGTTGTTTAAAATATCTCATAAAGTTATTAATTTCAGTAACCGAAATACATGAGAACCCTGTCGTGATTTGTTTCCCGAATTTCCCTTATTGCGTCAGAGTGTTTAGTTTGTTAGCTATCACGTGCTGTTAAAATAATCGCTTTTTTGTTGTGTTGTTTAGGTTTGGATTTTGGGCAGCTGACCTCCTCTTGAGAAACAAGAATATCAAAGCATGGCTGGCAGAGATATAAACGAGAGCTCTCCTCTTTTGGAAAACTCAGTGACTTCAACCAGATCAGAGTCAGTGTTCAATGGCAGGAGACTGGCATGTGCTGCCATCCTGCTGGCAGAGTCTTTGGAAAGAATGGCCTTCTATGGCATCACCTCAAACCTGGTGCTCTTCCTCAACAGCAGCCCCTTCTATTGGGAGGGCACTTTGGCCAGCCAGGGTCCCTTGATCTTCATGGGAGTCACTTATTTAATATCTCCATTTGGTGGCTGGCTGGCAGATGCGTACCTTGGCAAATTCTTAACCATAGCCTTGAGTTTGGGCCTTTACTTGCTCGGGATGCTGCTTTTCCCTTTTGTGGCCAGTGATAATACTAGGAACTATCTGTGTGGAGAGGAGATGGCATTTCCAGTGCAGCCAGCGGAGTGTTTTCCTGAAAATGGGACAGTCCCTGCTAATGTGACCTGCGTCAATCGGCCGTCGTACTGCAGGCCTGCGATCTACAGTGGTCTGGTGCTGGTGGCCCTTGGAGTGGGAGCTGTCAAATCAAATATCACTCCATTCGGGGCAGATCAGGTAATGCAGGGGTGTAAGAGTTGAATTTTGGGGGCCCTCAGAGGGCAGCAACGGAGTCTTAGTGGGTCTGTTGAAAAGTTCGAGAACATATTAGTAAAATAATGTAATAATAGAAAGCAGATTAGACTAATAGTATGGAAAAAAATGGTATGATTAAATAAAGAAAACAAACTTATATTGGCAAGAAAAACATAATATATTTAACAGTGTATTCAAAATTGTTATCAAAATTGAAAATTGACACACAAGGTGTATCTAGAATTGATTTGAGACTCATTTCATAACTATTTTTTATGTCAGATAAACTGTCCTCCAATCATTTATGCACAAAAACTCAAGTGGTTTCATGATAATTCAATAAAAAAGGTTCAGTTTATATAAAAAAACTATATAAATATATTATTTATATAAAAATTATCTATAATAAATGCATAATATTTTAAAGTTGGATGCATGTCTTGAAATGATAAAATTAATAATAATAATAATAATAATAGTAACAATCTATAAGATTTTTATTAATTAACATGTTTAATTATGCAAAATCATTCTTCAATGTAATCATAACAGGAGTAAAAAAGTTTTTGTGAAAAAAAAATCCAACTTTTTTCTTAGGGTTACCAACAGTTTTATTAAACTCCTAAGACATTTCAAGAAATGTCTTGATCACAATTAACTGGACATGTTTTTTTGTTTTTTGTTTCACAATTTTTTTTTTTAAATGTACCCAAAGATGCATTTAAAATAATATAAATCACTTAAATAAACTAAATTTAAATAAATGCATACAAATAAAAATTATTGTATAGACCATTTTCTGGGATGTAAACAAAAACTGTGGTCTTAACATATATATTTAATTTCTGTAGCTTTCGAGAATCCAAAAAGAGCCACATATTGATAAACAATGAATAAATGTTATGACAGCTGTTTTAACATTAAGTTATGATTGAATTGTCTTTTGTTACAGTTATGAAATAGTTTGATAACAAGCAGGAAATGTTAATGGACGAATGACATGATCACATTTAAATTGTCTATAGGTTGCTACTTAGGCCAAAGTGTTAAAATGTGCACCAGGATGGTCATATTCTGAGGTGTGTATGTGTGTGTTCTATAAAATATTGAAACTCCTGAGGGACTAAACAGAAATCACTACAAATGGAGAGATGTCTAAACTTTGAGTAGGTTTAGATCTCAGGGGCACAACCTGGGATTGATTCTCAAAGCAATATATTCGACAATGTCTGGTTTTTATGAAACTCTAAATGATATTATTAAGACCTTTGACATGTTTGCTGGTGTTTGTTCAATAACATTCCTTCAGAAGCTTTAAGATAACCCTTCCTGGTTCTGTCTGTGGAAGTTGATGCTTTTGTAGTTTTAGAGAGTTTGTGGTGTATTGCCTTTCTTGAGATTTTTAAGGATCAGGTGTTGTTTTCTGTGCTTTTTTAGAGCAGTTTAAAAAATGTATTGGTTGGTCAGATCTATACAAATACATCAGGGCTGATGGTTATATATAGATAAACATATAAAGATGCAGGAAGTATCTTGCTGTAAAAGTCATGTTGATAATCTACACTTTATTTAAAGGAGGATGTTGGGCATTGTAATTTTTTATTTGGCCCACCACCCCATCTGAGAATGGTGGAGAGGGTTGATGTTTTTTTTTATTTTTATTTTTTTAAATACTGAGCTACAAAAAAGCAAACTGAAATTAAATGTTTCAATTAAATGTAAACGAATCCGACTTAAAAATGTAAATACTGTCACTCAACGGATAGAGGTCTGCAGGAGACATGGGCGAGCAAATCAATGCAAAAACTAGTGTAATTTCTTTCTATTATAAACAATGTTTTGTTTTTAATGTAATAAGATCATTAAAAATGTAAAAACTTATACTGTCTTGGTTAAGAAAGCAATGTTTTTTAATTATTGTTTATATTATTAAACAAATCAGGAAATTACCCATGGCAACCATATTTAGCTTTGGCCCACTAGCCTTAATAAAGTTGGTTTTTGGCCCTTCATAAGAAAATTTTGGGTACCCTTGAAGTCATACAAACAAAAAGGATTTTGTGTACAAAAATAAGAGATATGTATTTAAATATTTAGATAGATAGATAGATAGATAGATAGATAGATAGATAGATAGATAGATAGTCATTAATATGTTATGATGTCATAGTTTTGAAATTATATATGATATGATAGATTTTTTTAAGCTTCGGTCTCCTATTTCTTATGCTTTATAATTAAAATAATTACTTAATAATTAAAGGCCTTAAAAAGTATTAAACAATTCTTCAATACTATTTTACAAGGTATTAAATTATTTATTATTTTAGTTTAGTTGTTTGCTACAGTTTGCCTGGATTTAATCTCCAAATATTGAAGTGCTGTGTAGTTTACGAAATCAATAAAATCCTGCTAGATTTGACTTTATGCTGCATTGTTTTCTGCAGTAACCAAGGCAACACCGTTATTCCAGCTGTTCTGTAGGCGCCACCTGTTGGAAGAGAGTTAACTACATGTAGTCCTTTGTGTGTAGCATCTTTAAACGTTAAATCACTTAAGATTGTTCAGCCTGTGCTTGTTCTTCATTCCCACCCTTCTGAATTAAATCGCATTGGTGAGTTGTCCCAAGCTAAGACTCTTTAATTATGCTTTTTTATTTAGTAAATATACCTTTTGTTAAAATGTTGCCAATGTTACCGGTTGAAATCTAAAGGGGCTATACGCTTAAAATGTATGGAAGAGTCTTGAAAATGTCTTGGGTATTGAAATTAACTCTATGCTGTACTGTATATCCCCTCATAGAGAAAAAAAAAATACATATAGATTCTTGTAAAATAGGAGTGAATAAATGAATTTTAAGTTTTTTTATTTTACTCAACATTATCATTTGTTTTAGCATACTACATACAAATGTGGGTCAATTGCTGGACCTTTTAACTGTTTCCTTTACCAACTGAGACCACATCTGACAGTCATGGAAAAAAAGCTTTGCAATATTTCAGTTAAAAAAGCTATACTTAGAAATATGATTTTATTTTTTTCACATTTTTTTTTGCCAAAGTTGTCCTTAACTATTGAACAACAGCCATTCTTGTCCTAACTTTGTAAGACATTTTTCATTCACTTTATATGTTGACTGCTGTATATAAAATCACTATTATAAATGTAATTTGCAACAAACACCAAAATGAGATGTCTCATCTCTAAATACTAAATTGAATTACATTTTATCTAACATATAGAGTAGATTTACACATTTGGTTTCTTATTTTGAAGAATGCTTGAGTTACAAATGACAAAATCAAAATGTTTTTTTTTTTGGAAGCAGAACGGAAGCTTTTTATTTACAGACTTTAATGGAATTGAACAACACCTCTAGACACTTTCACTTCACTTATTTAAAATGGAAATGAACATACCACACATTTCTGAGGTACTTTGAGTCTGATTTGGCCTTGTGGGCTGCAAAATGTCTCATGTCACAAGATCGAAATTATTAGGCCTTTTGTTGAAGTGGCTTCGGTGTTCACTGCCAAGGTCTGTTTCTTAGAGTCAGTTAAAACTCAACTGATACCTGAAAGTTTAATTCGGTATAGAGGCTAGGAGAAATTCAATTAGTATACACTCTCACTATAACATCCAATCAGTTCTTATTATGCAAAACCGTTTTACAATTCATTTCTTCAATTTATGTCAAATTTCACACTTTTACTTGACCTCTTAATGACTTGGGGCTCTGTACAGTAGTATACATAGGGGATGTCCCTGTTATAAGTGAACCATAATTAAGGAAATAATCTGCTGAAGTGTGTGACTAATTACAGAACCTCCTATGATGATTAACAATAACCTTCCGCACTGCTTTTGTTAACCATGGCATTAACACACAAAATGAAAGTAACAAAAATGTAGGAAGCAAAACTGACATCTGCTTTAGATGGCTTAACAGTTTGCTTCACTATTTAATTATTATTATTTTTTTTTTCCCCCTGTTATCTAGTCTACTAGATTATTTGACAGGCTTAAGTTGTTATCAAAAACCAATGGGTTATTTTGCAAGACTAGCATTTAAATGGGGATGACTTGGATAAGGCAGGGTTGGCTTCTGTTGATGGCTGTCTCATCGTATGATCGTCATGTGATTTTTAGATTCAATAAAGAGCTGAATTGCAGGCTGCACCATCTGGGTGTTATTGTGGGCATCAATCACATTTAAACATAGAGGAACTGAGCAATTTTCTTACAATATATGAGCCGTTTTTCTAAAACTAGTGGTCATCTGTCTTATGATTGTTTTTGAGCTACAGTATTCATATACTTGAGAACAAACGCTTATGCACACAAGCTTGTAAATGCAATTAAATTCCAAACTATAGTTTAATTAAAGTAAGAATGTGGGTGTTGATTGTTCACGTGCTTAGTGATGGTACTTTGTAGCTAAATTAGCTAGGAAGATGGTGTTTTTCATGATGTGAATTATGTTAGTTCACTTCAATATTACATGTTTGCCATCATTCAGTTACCCTCAATTTATTTTCCAGGCCATACGACTTTTGTTCATCTTCAAAGCAATGAAAGAAACTCATAATACACTGGTTCTTCAAAACATCCATTAAGAGTTTAGAAAATAAATCCTATTTAAATTCTTGTGAAGACAATTCTTGTGTTTTATATGATGAAATTTTTTTTTAATTGAGCTTTTATTACCATGTATGAGCACTGACTAAAAATAGAGTTTAATTATAACTGTGTGGCATGCAAGATAGGGCTGGGCCAATAAACAATATTATTTTGAATTGCAATAAAATTTAAAGTTAGGCCCATAAATATTGGGACACAATTATAACAATTTTGCCTCTATACACCAACACAATGGATTTGCAATGAAATTGTTACTTTATCTGCTTTAACTGCAGACTGTCAGCTTTAATTTGAGGGTATTTACATCCAAATTAGGTGAACAGTGTAGAAATTACAACAGTTTGCAAATGTGCCTCCCACTTGTTAAGGGACCAAAAGTAATTAGACAGAATAATAATCATAAATCAAACTTTCAGTTTTTAATATTTGGGTGCAAATCATGCAGTAAATTACAGCCTGAAGCCTGGAACACAAAAACATCAGCAGACGCTGGGTTACATTCCTGGTGGTGCTCTGCCAGGCCTTGTTCTTGGGCCATTTTCCCTTTAGTTTTGTCTTCAGCATGCTGGATCGGATTGACTTGTCAGGGGATTGACATGGTCATTGTATAACATTTCACTTCTTTCTGTTCAAAAGCTCTTGTTGCTTTTACAGTATGCTTTGAGTCATTCCCATACACCTAGAGAGTGTTCTTAAGCTGGCCAACTGTTTGTGGAGGTTGTTTACGTCCACCACAGTTGTTTTTCATGGTCTTCCGGGTCTTTTGGTGTTGCTAAGCTAAATGGTAGGGGATGGCTGATGTGAAACTGACGTTTCGACACAGTGTCAAGATCCCGAAGTGCAAGTGTTTATAGTGGTGTTGTTTAGATAGGATATAGCTGCTGATAAGTCATCAATTTAGCATAATTTTTGTAACACTGTTAAACAATAATTAATATTTTCACAGTACTGTGATGGTTGGTTTTAGGTTTTGGGTATACGTTAATAAAATACAATGGGAATTTTAATTAATAATATAAATAATTCTTGTTAACTTCTGGCCACAACTGTATCTGATATAGCAACAACCTTGTTTTATGACCAAAACAAGACATATTTATTCAAAAAGTGTTTATTCGGATGTCTGACCAATGTTGAAACAAAACGATACAAGAACAAAGCATTTCAATCTTGATATTAAAGCATTTCAAAATTGCTGCATCAGCCTGGATTCAGACAGACTGTTCCCGTGTGGTAGTCAGGAACCCTAACCGCTTCACTAAATCACTTGAAGGTTCTATCCTGTGTGATTATCCCTAGTGGGGTTTAATACCTCGGTTTGCTGAACTGTTCTTTGCTAAAACTGTTCCAGTGCAATATATAAAAATGACCACTAGGTGACTTTCGAAGCGTTTCGAAGCTTCGACATGTTTGCTTCGACTGTTTCAGTGTTTTTATGAGCCTCGCTTCACCCACCACTACTCACTGGTGCATTCTTTCTTTTTAAGAATGTACCCAAACTGTTGTTTTTGCTATCTCTCTGATGGGTTTGTTTTGTTTTTTCAGCCTAATGATGGCTTGCTTTTCTGATAGTGACAGCTCTTTGGATCTTATGTTGAGAGTTGAGAGCAACAGATTCCAAATGTAAATAGCACACTTGAAATGAACTCTGGACCTTCTATCTGTTCTTTGTAATTGGGATAATGAGGGGATAACACACACTTGGCCATGGATCAGCTTAGAAGCCAATTACTTTTGGATCCTTAACAAGTTGGAGGCACATATGTAAACTGTTGTAATTCGTACAGCGTTCACCTAATTTTGATGTAAATATCCTCAAATTAAAGCTGACAGTCTGCAGTTAAAGCAGTTAATTTCATTTTAAATCCATTGTGTTGGTGTATAGAGTCAAATATGTTAGAATTGTGTCAATTTCCCAATATTTATGGACCTAACTGTGTGTCAAAAACGATGATAAACTCTGGACATTTTTACTCTATTGTTCCTAAGAGCAAATCACACAGCAGAAATGTGCAATAGTTTATAATTGTGTTGATATTAGAGATTTACCAAATGTTTTGTCGCTGAAAATTATTGGTCGAAAATAGGTCAAACTGCGTCACCCAGTATTGATTAGCATGCTTGTTTCACTTTCCCGCCAGCACTATTCACCTTCCAGCATAGTTAGGATACTCTTTTAAAATTGGAAGCATTAAAAACGAGTATAGAAATGTATATATTGTTATCTTTCAATATAAAAAATAATAATTGAGATTACATTTTTGCCATATCGCCCAGCCCTTAAGCTTTAAAATAATGGTCCAGTAGTTAATGCATTAAATAACATCAAAAAACACTGAAAAATACTAGGGATGCTCAGATTGATCAGCCGATACTCACATTTTATGACTCAGTCAGTACTCGTTAATCTGGCCGATCACATGAACCAGTCGCAGATTTACAAGCCAAGGAAGATGCATTCTAATTTTTAGTTCAAGTATGTACTCCCAACTTTTTCTTGATTGAGGCACGCTGAATTATTCTTCCATCATATGCAATGTTTCCAATTTGCATTGTTAGTAAATTTTCTGACCAAATTTTTATATTTTTTTCTGTAAAGCTGCTTTTGACCATGGCGTGTCCACACTAATTGTTTATAAATGACATGTTTAAAGGATTATATGCAACATCCTTTATTTATTCTCTTAGGAAAGAAGAGATCTCCACTTATAGCAGACTTTGAGAGAAAATGTGCTTTATGCAATTCTGTATCGGCTGATCACCATGCCAAGTAATCATTACTCTGTATCTGCTTTTAATATCCCTAAAAACAAGTTTAATACATTCATTCATTTTCTTTTCGGCCTAGTCCCTTATTTAATCAGGGGTCGCCACAGCGAAAGGAACAGCCAACTTATCCAGCATATGTTTTACACAGTGGATACCTGGAGCACGCAGAGAAAACTTATGTGAACACGGGGAGAACATGCAAAATCCACACAGAAATGCCAACTGACCAAGCCTGGGCTCAAACCAGCAACCTTTTTGCAGTGAGGTTATTGTGCTACCCACTGCACCACTGTGATGCCCACATTTAATACAGTATTTAATAAACTTTGTTATAATTAGTAAATGAAAATAAAGTCGTTCATTGTTCATGTAAACTCGTAGTACATTATTGTTAATAATGCTGTAGTAAATGTAAACTTTGAAAAATGCTGTACAAGTTTTGTTCATTTTATTTATTATTAGTAAATAAATTAACTTAAGGCATTAACTAATAAAGCAACTTATAAAAATATAACTTTTTTTTTTTTTAAAGTGTGACTGACAAACCTCGTTTTGTTCTTGCTAAAGCTCAAACATGTGGTGTGACTTAACTGGCAAGGATATCTGAACTTCTGTTACCAAATTCTTAACCAAAGCTTAAATTAAATGTTACCTTAAACAAGTTTAAGTTAAATGTGTCTTTTTGGAAGACAGCAAACAGCTTAATTCTTATTTACTGACCACTTTATGAACGTTTTAACATTTTGAATGAATAATCTATCTTTAAAGGGAGGTTCATAAATCTGTAAGAATATTTTAAAATGTGTTCGGAAGGTAAGCAATAATTTCATGGGTTCAGAAAAAACATGAATTTTAGTAATTTATGGCTGAATAATAATAATAATAAAAAAGAAAATTTCACACTTTTTTATTTTAAGGTACAGTTCACACTATTAACAAACCATTAAGACTTTTAGCTTAATAAACTAATTATTATCTGTTTGTTAATAGTAAGGTAGTAGTTGGGTTTAGGTTTTGAGTAGGATTAGTGACGTAAATTTAGATCATAAGAACTAATACGCAGTTAATATCTAATTAGTAGGTAATAAGTAAGCCCACGGAATATGCACGCAAAGAAAACCACAGATTTTCAGACCATCATTAAGTCTATTTGTTGACTTGTGTAGATGTATGTATTCATTTTTTTTTATCAATTTCAGTAATATTATTGACTAATATGAAAATGTTCAATTGATTTATTTTCAATACAGTTTGTAAAGTAATATTTTCTGTCTTTTATAAGATATAATAAATGAGATAATTGCTTTGTTTGCCAAATAAGGGCATCTAATTGGATTTGCATTGTAAACATTAAACAAAATGTATTATTTTTTATTCCATATATTAGTTATGATACTGCCAAAATCATTCCGCAAAAAATTTGATGATTTTCTTTCTTTTTTTTTTTTTTTTCGAAATTCTGCCTAGAAATAACAAAAAATGTCTGCAGATTCTATCTGGCCCTTCTAAATGATGTAAATTATTACTGAAACCAAAGTGTAACCAAATGTCTTGGTCTTGTGGTGTACTGGCTTTGCAGTGTTATTGCTCTCTTTGTTTGACATAAACCACTTTCGGTGTGTTGTTATGGAATTTAAACTGATAAAAAGAGAGTTTTTTTTTTAAAGGGAGTTTTAGCTGTTGCGACAAAACAATAAAGAGAATAAATAAAATAAATAAATGTATGATTAGAAATCCACTAATTTTCTTTTTATTTATGTTCTTACAGGTGAAGGATCGAGGTCCTGAAGCAACGCGGCGGTTCTTTAACTGGTTCTACTGGTGCATTAATCTTGGAGCGATCTTCTCTCTGGGTGGTATAGCTTACATCCAGCAGAACATTAGCTTCTCTATAGGCTACATCATCCCTGCCGTCTGCCTTGGGGTGTCCCTCATCATCTTTTTTCTGGGCAAAGCGGTTTTCATAACCAAACCTGCAGATGGCAGTGCCTTCAGCGACATGTTTCGGATCCTGGGCTCAGCCCTCTGTGGACGTGGACCGAAAGAACCCAGTCTGCTGAGGTGAGAGCAACATTTATTCACTTATTAAAGGATCAGTTCACCAAAAAAAATGTAATTCTGTTATTAATTACTCAACCTCATGTTGTTCCAATCCCCTGAGACCTGAAGATATTTTAGATGAAATCTGAATTGATAAATTGGGTCTAATTAATAAAATATGTGTAGAATCTTTTCTAAAAGTGAACATACACCAGAATATATTTTCATTTATTTATTTATGGATGTGGCTGATATGATTATTTAAAGTGGTTCAATTTAATCAGTATTTAAGTTAATGTTAAGAGTTGTAGATCACAACTTTTACCACCTGTTCTGTGTGTATGCCATGTTTATAAATGAGACCGCAGAAAAGGAACTTCATGGAACTGGAATTCCATGTGACTTTGGTTTAACTGAAAACATATGAAGTTCCAAAAACTTTTTAGACTTCAACTTTGACTTTGTCTACTTAATTATTTTTACTTTTTTACTTTGGCGCATAAACAGTTTTCTTTTTTGGTGCTTTGTTTGATTACTGTTGAACCACTGAATTCACATGGAATGATTTGATAATGTTTTTGGTTCCTATTCTGGACTTTGAACCTCTCGGGACACTTGCTGTCTGTGGAGGATGAGGGAGCTCTCCGATTCCATTTAAAATAAATTAATTTGTGTTCCAAAGATGAACTAATGTCTCAGGGGATTGGAACGATATGAGAGTGAATAACTGATAAAATGATTAAAATGTTTGTGTGGACTTGAGCTGCGTTCACACTGAGTGCCTCGCAGTGGCAAAGTGACAAGCGACCATTCATTACAGTGGAGAGCGAGTGACTTACAGCGACCTCTGTTTATGTAAGCAAAAGCAACTGTTGGCGACCAGGTGGGTGTGTGGAATGATGCCACAAAGTTGAGAATCCTTTAACTTTATGCAAATAAACAGCGACTTTCTTGAGCAACAGCCAATACGAGGATCTGTAGAACTCACGTGATCCTCTCTCAGCGCTTACAGAGGCTGGTTGTTTTCTCTATGCTGTAGACCTACACAGACCTACGTTTGCAGGAAATAAATATCTGGAATAACAGAGAACACTTTTTTTATTGATCATCCTTGTAATTAGGCATTTTATGTACTGATTCCACTTATATTTAGTGTTTTCTCTGAACAATATTTACTTTCAGTGGCATGTAAACACTATAAACGTTACCTAAACAACCCCAATGTGGAAACCCCCACTATATTCAATCGCCACTCAGAGCGACAGGCAGCTACAAAGTCACTGCTAGTGTGAATGAGGCGTAACACTTTAGGGAAGTGATTATCAATACTGACCAGGGGCCTCATGTACGAAGACTTGCGTGGAAATCTTACTAAAACATTGCGTACGCACAAAGCTGTAAATGTGCGTACGCAGAAAAAAATTCAGATGTATGAAACACTGCGTACGCCGAGTCTCACGCATATTCTTTTGTACATCCGAATGAACGTGAAACTGAGCGCAACATGCACGAGCACAAAACCCCTCCCTGCCTCCTCCCCCGTATGAATATGCTAATGACTATGCTAATGTAAAAACCCAACGAAAAAGCAATGGCAAAAGCAAGCAAAAAGAGAAACTTTGAACAGAATGTGAAATGGAGGTGCTGCTTTCGGAGGTAGACCGGAGAAAAGCGGTGTTATTTGCAAGTTTGTTCGGCGGAATTAACAACAAAAGAAAAAAAATAGAGTGGGAGAGTTTAGCTGATACGGTTAACACAGTTGGGTCTGAACATCGCACTGAGTGCATTTAAAAAAGAAATAGTGTGGTTTATATATGTAAAATGTTGCACTACCCTTCGCAGTCTCAGTGGCGCACCTCATAAGAAGCATATGATCATGTTCTGACACGTTCGAGCATAACTCGGCTCGAATCCAGCGTCTGATGAATTCATTCTTCTTTTTTTTCCCCGCTACATATCAGATTTTGCCCACTATTTATCACGAGAAAGACAAGTAGGAATCATCAATAAGTTTGTGCATCATATTTTATTTGCACATTTATTGAATGGAAATGTTTCTGATTCACGCATGCAAATTTATCTTCACATAGTGTCTTTATAGCAATGTGCGTGCAGTAGATAGCTCAGATTACATTGGGAAAACAGGCGACCGCTGCAAATTGTGCTTTAATGTTTAGCTGGTCAACTGTATGGTATGGAAATCTTACATACCTACTATATGAACCCGTCTCATACAGCTGCCATTGCAAGGATCAGACACTTTGTAGAGAAGAATTTAACACAACTGCCTCTAGGAGTCGCCAATGGAAATAAAACAGACACGCACAAAAAATGTGCGTACGCCTGCCAGAAACCTGCCGTGAACCTGCGCAAATTCCCACGTTCAGTTCATTGTTAGTAAATCCAAACGTGAGCGATTCTGAGCGTGAAACCTGGCGTACGCAAAGTTTTTGTGCGTACGCAGCGTTGATACATGAGGCCCCTGGTTTATGTTTTGCACACTTCTGGATTTATTGTGAATTTTTTTTTTGGCTTTTTTTTTTTTTGCACTTCCTATTTAACAAAGAACCATCTTAACACTAGTGCAGCAAACTAAAGATTGAACATTTTCTACATATTCAGAAATGTAAGATATTTCATTCATCAGGGTGTTCGTTGGGTCTTAAAAAGTCTTAGAAAATGTCAAAAACAAACTTTTACGGTAGATCTTAAAAAGTCTTAACGTAATTGAAATATTGACTTTTAGGTCTTAAATCATTGTAAATGTGTTAATTTTTCTACATTTATGTAATCCTTATAACTCCATTCAATAAAATAGTTTAATTATCTTCCTTGGATTAAAATAAAAAGTTCTCAGTGTTTTTATAGACCATAAGTGGTGAGGAAAGTGACCTGGACAGGCTTTTTGTTGTGCATACATTTAGTTGCGTTTTCCTTTTTAAAGATTTTCTTTTCTTTTTTTTTTTAAAGAAAAGCAATATTGATTTTTTTATGAACATTAAAATCAAGGGGTTTGCTAGTTTCATTATTTAAAATATGGAACTAAGAAATAAATTATATATGGTTTTCACCCAAATATGGAAACCGTTTCTGTTTTTTTTTTGTGTATGCAAGTATTTTAAAGTACTTTAGAAATACCTAAAATGCATCTGTCAATGTTTTCAAACTATTCTATTTGATTTACCAAAGTCAGACAAGTGGTATTTTCACATCTGTAACATCCATAACAGAGAGATGTAACAGAGAGATGTCACATCCTTAACGACACTTGAATGTGAAAATATTAAATAAAATAAAACCAATCATTTTTGTTTTACAGAGAGCCAACTCATATCCTTTTGATTAGGATTGTTTCTATTGGGTTGTGCAGTTAAATTCACAGAATGTCTACCAAGTATGTTGTAGACTGTAGACTGTAAACCCATGTTTATTTTCCACATTTAAAATACAAAACATGTTTACAGATTGATATTTTTTGCTCTCATAGCTGTGTAGTTAGTAGTTTTGGAAAATATAAACAGAAGTTTCAATATTATGTTAACATAAACTTTCTCTGTGAATTTAAGTTTTAAGATTTTACTGCAAATGTCACATCCATAACGCTGGAATTGCTCATATATTTATTTATTTATTTATTTGTTTGATTATTTATTTATTTGTTTGTTTGTTTGTTCATTTATTTTTATTTATACTTTTTTTTTTTCAGATGGGGCTAATTAAAATATTTAGCGGCTATACCAACAGGGACATTTAGAAAAAAAAAAAGAATACTATATATATATATATATATATATATATTTAATATATATATATATGTGTGTATGTATATGTATATGTGTATATGTGTGTGTGTGTGTGTGTGTGTGTATGTATGTGTGTATATATATATATATATATGTATGTATGTATGTATGTATGTATGTATGTATGTATGTATGTATGTATGTATGTATGTATGTATGTGTATATGTGTATATGTGTATATATATATATTTATATATATATTTGTGTGTGTGTATATATATATATATATATATATATATATATATATATATATATATATATATATATATATATATATTTATTTTATTTAAGTATTTTGTCGTAAGTTGCAAAATGTAGTACTGCAAAATTCTCAAAAATGTGTCTAAATGTTTTCAAACAATTATATGTGATTTAACAAAGTCACACAAGTGCCCACAATTTTCCTCATAATTACAAAAATGTAAAATAAAATAAAAAGTCATGTTTGTTCTTTAGTAAGTCAACTCTTATCCTTTTGATGAGCATTATTTCTTCTTGGTTGTGCAGTTGAATTCGCATGTTGTGTACTGTAAACTCACAGACTTATTGATCACATCCATAACGCATGTTTATTTTCTTCATTAAAAATATAAAAAATGTCTTCAGATTTTTATTTTTTTTCTGATGCCATAACTCTGTGGTTTGTTGTTTTGAAAACTACAAACAGATGTTTCAAAATAATGTATATTTTGTTTGTGAGTTTATGTTTGAAGCTTTAACTGCAAATGTCACATTCATAATGCTAGAATTGCTCATATGTTTATCTTGACTCAGGCCTTACTATTTGATATGGTTTGTTAGTGTGTGAAGCTGTACATTTATGAGGCTTTTTTCAAGCTTTCACATGACTCTATTAGTGTGTGATGTTATCCCTCACCTACCTTTTGATCCAGCTCTCCTGTCTGTCTCACACGCAGTGCTATTCATCGTGTCTCTGTGGTATAACTTACTGTCAAGTGCTGTACCCTTTCTTTAAACCAAAGAAGAACTCTTTATAAAAACCTGACATTAGAATCTTGGAATTAGAGGAAACAAGTCAAAATCCTTGCTCATTTGTTTCTTTGCTTTTTTTTTTCTTTCTTCCTGAGCTGTTGATAATCTCACAAATATTGCAATGATGTGATTTAATAATGTCTACACAGAAAAGCTTGTTACAAACCATGTTTTCCCTTTAGGCCAAAGCCCACTGTTCTGGATGGTGCTAAAGTAACATACGGCGGCCGCTTTTCAGACGAGAAGGTGGAGGAAGTGAAATCGCTGGTTAAAATACTTCCTGTTTTCCTGGCCCTCATTCCATACTGGACTGTCTATTTCCAGGTAAGGCTACTATACATCTTTCAGATCTGTCAGCTATTAAAAAAAAGGGAGTTGTACAGCTGGCATATTAACTTAAAGGTCTCGTGAAATTGAAATAAAAAAAAATAATAATGTTAGTTCCCTTCAGTTACACTGCAGGCAAATGTGACCCAAATCTGGTTTTCTTTTGTCCACATGTGACTCATTTTGGTTATGACAGTGTGAACGGCTCAAACATCATGGAATCTAATCTTTTCAGTTCTGATTTGTCCCACTTTCATATGTGGTACTAAATCAGATACAGATCTGATGTTTTGCATTGTGACCGCAGTGTGAACCGGTATGTAGGAATTCATGTGACCCTTACATGATTTTGGATCGACGTGCATCATCATTCTGTGCTGCAAACATCTTCAACAGCATAGTACAATAGCACACAGGGCAAATACTTTACCACAAAAAGTTGGTTGTTCATTTTGAATATTTTCTTTTAAGCAAAACTGCCTATGTTGTTTATAACGAATTCAAATGAAATAACAGTGGGCTATAGGTTATCAGACTCTGAAACACTTACGAACCAGGTGTGAGCTTCACCTTCACAGTTCGGTCTGTGGCTGCTTATTGACCCTTGATGAGTTCACTACATTGGTGGGCAGGAAAACGCACACCCCGGTTGTCATAAATCACAAATGATCAGTGTTTTCAATCACACAATACTTATTTTAGGATTCAAACAGTTAAATACACATTAGTACTTGCAAAACAACATTTACAGTTAATAAAATGTCCATGAAAATGGCAATAACTATAATAAAAAAAAATGTATTCACTTCATTCAGTATACACATTATGTGCAAAATTAGACTGTTGCATGCGGGGCAGTGTATGACTACGATCTTTTAACATTTGTAAATTTAGTGCTGGCCATATTTATAACAACAATGTGAACAGCTATGCAAAAAAAAAATCAGATCTGAGAAAAAAATCTAATTTGAGCACTAAGGCCCAGTCCCAATTCTTCCCCTTAGCCCTGTCCTAATCCTCTTTAGCTTGAAGGCGTAGGGCTAAGGGAAACAAACCAGCCACAACGGCAGCATAGCTACAGCTGAAAAATAGTAGATCCACAAATTAGTATTTTTTTTTTGTCATTGTTTTGAATTTTTACAACAAACAAGCATATGTTTTAATATATTCATAACCGTGTTCAGGTTTTACTGTCATGCTTTTTAAAACAACCTCTAAAATGAAAACTGCTAAATTTCGCTATCTATAATCCCTAATAATAACTCATGTCTATCAGTCTCACAACATTTTTTCACTTGATGACTTGATGACAGAATCTGACATGTCCCATCCCTTCAATTTGATTTGCTTGATTTCAACCACTCTAACTTGCAACTCTATAATATAAACAGACATTATTGGACTTTTTTTTTTTTTAAGAAGAGGAGCTACTCTTTTACACTCCTTATTTTTCACTTGAGATTACGTCAAGCATTGAATAAAAATACACATTTCAAAGCACTTCACCGGACCTTTAAAGTATTTGTTATATTGTAAAAAGAACTGCATAGATGTTTTATTAGCTTGAAGTCTCAAGGTGTCTTATGCTGAAGAAGGATAGACTTGGTGTTGATGAATGGTGTCATCAAATACATGTGATTGATGGTCATAAGCAGAGACTTTGTCTATGGCGTATTAAAGGTTAGTGCCATTTGGAACCTTTATGGGACGGGTGGGCATAAAGCCCTTGAGCAGACAGGTGCTTCCATTAAGGTCTTTATATGTGCTTAGCTCAAGGTAATTTAGAAAGGACAAGCAATAAAGACGGGGACATCTCTACTACCCTACAACAGCTGGCATGGGGCCCATAACCACTCTATTGATGTCACTTCACTGACCTAAACTACTGCAAACTGTTTTTAAGTACAATGAAGTTAGTTCTAACCTGCTCCAGGACATGTGTTCAGGTTTAGAGATCACAATTTTAGATTTCACTAATCAACTTTAACCAAAGTGACACAAAAAACACACTCTCCCAGATTCTCTTGTTCCAAATTAAAGTTCACTGAATAGTGAAATAGTTTTAAAATTGTCAGATTTTAATGATGATTATTTAGTATGATTATTTTATTATGTTAATTATTTATTTGATGCAAGATCATATTTTTTAAGCTGATTGGACAGAACTGTGCATAGGTAGTGTATAGTGTGTCCACAGTCATACTGGACTGATAGAAACACAAAGTCTGTTTTTTATTTTTATTTTTTTATTTACTGAGGTTAAAATATCCAAATCCTAGTAATTTTGAAGCCACAATGTTATGTAGGAACGTGGTTTTACCCACCCACCTAATTGATTAAAAGGCGCATATTAACATGTTTCTGTAGTAATGTGTATAAACATGCCCACAAAACTAAGAATAAAAGACGGGGACATCTCTAATACCCTACAACAGCTGGCATGGGGCCCATAACCACTCTATTGATGTCACCTTACTGACCCAAACCACTGGTATCGGTGTGTTAAGTATCATCAAGGTAGTTCTAACCTGCTCCAGGACATGTTGTGTTCAGGTTTAGAGATCCCAACTCAAGATTTTTAGCTTTAAACAAAATGACATAATAAACACTCTCTCCAACTTTCTCTTGTTCCAAATTAAAGAACACTAAATAGTGAAATAATTAAAAAATGTCTGATTTTAACGATGATTATTTATTATGATTATTTAATTATTTAATTAATTTATTTAAAGGACACTTTTGATACAAAACCTACTTTTTAAAGCTGATTGGGCAGAACTGCGTGTAGGTATAGTGTCCACAGTCATACTGGAGTGATATAAAAACAAAAAGTCTCTCTTTTGTTTATTTATTTTTTTAAACTTCCTGATGTTAAAAAATTATCCAAATAGTAATTTTGAGGCTACAACTTGATGTTTTGGATTGACAGGCGTGTATTAACATGTCTCTGTAGAAACGCGTATAAACGTCAACAGAACAGGATCTGCAAAGAAACTGGGATTAAAAGATCTGTTCCAACTCTCTGTGATCAGCTGCACCTCAAGAATGAGTTTTACAAGGAGTTTTTAAAACATTTTTAAACAGTGCGTGTTTAACTTTGCACTGTTTTTGGTCTCTTATATTGTTCCTTATATATTGTTTTACTGTGTGGCCACCATCATGGTACAGGCCCCTGGTAAATTAACTTAGAACATTTTTTTACATTTAGCTTGCCAACACTTCCATGTTTAAATATTTTTAATAATAAGTCTATTTTTCATATATCCAAAATATGAGCACAAAACACATTATTTTAAACTATTTATTTTAAGCATGTGTAGCTAAAACGTGTCAAGATACGACTGCCTGTGTCAAAACAAAATAAAACAAAATATATAAACATTTTCCTAAATAAAGATATTAATTTAATCTTTATTTCTATAGCGTTTTTACACAGTAGATTGTATCAAAGAAGCTTAACATAGAATTTTTAGTTAATTGAAACTGTATCAGTCCAATTTTCAGAGTTGAAATTTAGTTTAATTCAGTTCAGTGTGGTTTAATTTTCACTGCTAAAAGGCCAAACATTGAAGAGCAAATCTCTTGATGCGGAGCTCCACAAGTCCCAAAGTCAAGCACGCCAGTGGCAAGCAAGAAAACTTCACCAAATGACGAAAGTGAAGGAAAAAACCTTAAAAGAAACCGGGCTTAGTTGTGCACGACCATTTCTTTAAAAAAAAAGTTTTGATTGAAATGAAATAAAATTGCATTGCATTGCTGTAAGGGAGTAGCAAATAGTTTCTTGAGGTAAAGAAGCTTTTGTAGAAATAGTAAACTGCTATAACTACAAGGGCTGTTACGTCATAGCCTAACTTGCAGAAAAAACAAGATTCTCCAATCCAATTATGACTAAAGGTCATCTTTTGAGACCCTGTCATCCAGTGTGTTTTGTCTTTTGAGACACTTGCCGACTGTTAGAAAGGTTATCCTGCATTGTTAGTCCTTGGAGCCCTAAATTAAGGTTTGTGTAAAGGACAATGGCTCTAACTTTTGGAAAAAAAATGCCTAATGACTTTGTGCATGAATAGATATTGGAGATTGTTTCCTTGAAGCACCAAACTGCTTTTAAGCGCTGAAATCTTGCCACTTGCTTTTTTCTTTCCCTGCCCCATTTCAAATCGGAATCAATAGCAATATTCAGAAACAATGTCTGTACAAGTGCTAAATGGATCACAGCAGACTGAATGAGATGTGAGTACAGCATGTTTATGTGGGCTGTTTTTTTTTTCGGCCTCTTTTATTGCAGATGCAGACAACGTATTATCTCCAGAGTCTCCATCTGACAATTCCTGGAGCCGATCCCAACTCCACAGACTCCCACCCGGTAAGAGAACCACTATTTCACTGCCAGTAATGTCAGATCGCTTCCAAATTGGCCTGGAAGAAAAATATAATTGCTTTGTTAATGAAGAGTTCAATTATTAAAGCTGTTGGCCTCCTTTTTTTGCCTGTCCTCTGGTCACTTTCCTCATCAGTTTTCCAATATTTTGTAGTCTGCTCTCTGCTATTAGGAAGCAACAGATTCAATGCCACAGATGTTTTCATTAATGATACATCTTGCTATAAATGTCTGCAAACCAGGGATTCATTGCTCTTTTAAATGAGATTGATGTAATAGACTGACTCATTAATAAAACTAAACTGTAGTTTTGTAACTTTATAAATACTATAAATACTATAGTTCACAATTTTTTTTGGCAATGTTGGTTCTGGACTTTTTTTCTTTTCCAATAAAAAGTTATTTAAACTCAGAATGAAATAGAAATGACCTTTTTTATATTTTGACACAGTTTCTAGAGAAACAGAATATTAAATGAGAAAACAGTGGGCATTGCTTGTTTTTGTTCTACTGTGAGTTGATGGATGAAGTTAAGTAGGCATTTCAATCAGAAAGATTTGGAAAAGGGTTTTGGGAGAATTATTACACCCCAACAGACACCTTCTCCTCAGCATTACTGTTGGTTGTTCTAGTGCTGTCACAAACTAACAGTGGTTCTTAACTGACAGCAGGGGCATAGATTTAGCATGGACTGAGGACGCATCTCCACTAATATCTACCAACGATTGAAATGTCCCCACCAATAATTTAATTCACTTAAAAAAACGAGCTGTCAATACTAACCTAAATATGCAGAAAGGATTAAATCACGTTCTCAAACAAATATAAACATTGTGATTAGATGTTTCTTTCCCTACTGTCATGTGAGAGGCTGTAACTGCGTTCAGATGTTACATAAGGAGCTTATTTTTCAACAAAAAGTATAAAGACTGATTTATACTTCTGTGGAAAGTGCATGTGTATGCCATTTTGTTTTGCGTTTAGCTTATGTTTATAGTCGTTGCATGTCCACCGGTTCCCAGCTCAAAATGAGTGAGTTTAAACTACTACTACATTAATGTAGCGTTCAGAAAAAAACAAAACACCAGCAAAGAAACTCGACACAGAGGAACATAAAAATCTCACTGCCAGCTTGCGTTTCAGAAGTGTTATTGCAGAGCAACACAAAGAGCGCGCACAAGTATAAATGCACGGCAACGCGCAAGGCATGCACTCTGGGTCACACTGATCACTCGACGCAGAAGTATAAAACCAGGCTTTAGTCACATGAACTTGAGTTTGCTACTGAATGAGACCGTCTTGATAATGCTGTTAATGCTCGTGTTTTCTCCCCACTTTAACATATAGGGCTCTATTTAGAGTCCAAATCGCAGGGCGCAAAAGCATTAAGGGCATGTCAGAATCCACTTTTGCTATTTTAAGGACGGAAAAATCCACTTTGTGCCGTGGCGCATGGTCTAACAGGGTTGAGCTTATTCTCTTATGAGTTATAGTTGTGTTTTGAGAATAAACCAAGCAGAGTCTCATCTCCCATTCCCTTTAAGAGTCAGTTGCATCCCGCCATAAGCGCATTTGCTATTTACATTGCGGACTTTGTAAATGGAAAAAATTAACCCTTCACTAAATAGTTAAGCAGAGCATCTACAGCGCAAGAATGAGAGAATGAGCCTCCACATTCTTTACTTTCACTTTCATACTTGTGGATAAGGAAACATGTTGTACGCACAGACATCTATTAGCCTATACATTATTAATTTTGTTTGTTAAGCGCAAAGATTAGTTTCAAAGCTATTTTTAAATTCATTTCTAATTTCCAGCAAGAGAATAAATACACATGCTATGCCCCAATATGGTCTTAAACCGGACAGGTGGTCAAATCTAAGCTTGTTTTAATAAAACAAATATAAATATGCATATAATAAGTAATAATACTAATAACAATAACATTATACAAAAGCAAATTGTTATGAATCAACTGAAAAAGCCCCCCGAAATGAAAAAGGCATGAACTATGGTTTTCATATTTATGTAAGCTAGAAAATAATAAATTTTGTAATATTTTAATCCTTTAATTCTTTTTCTTATGTAAAGATATTTTGTGTTGCTGTATCCTACACCCTCTGTGTATTAAGGAATTTGTAAGGGAGGTGCACAAATAACGGGCTCTTCGCTGGACTATAGACCTGCTTTGATCTGGTCTATCGAACAGTTTATTTTAGTTCCTCAAAATAGCAACATGCCAGCAATACTCCTCAACACACCTCCTTTTTTAGACCAGAACACCTATGGGCGCAATAATAAATGAAATGGAAATTATAATTTTTTTTTTTTGTGCGGCCCGGTAACAATTGATCCATGGACTGGTACCGGTCCATGGACCGATGGTTGAGGACCACTGGTATATCATACAATGCCCCAATTTCTTGGATTTTAGGGGCATATAACTGCATTCTGTAAACTTTATATGGCCAATTTTTATTTTTATACAAGTATAACTACATTCAATAAGCTCTTATAGATTTTCGAGAAGACATTTCATGCGGCAGTGCAAAATACGATGACTTGTGTTTGTCAGGTTTAATTTTAGAGCACACCGGATGCCTGTGTTGATGCCAGGTGCGCGTGTTGTGTTGTCTAGCGGCGGAGTAAAGGCTGTTTCGGATACTCTCTGGAGAGTCTGGCACACATGAGCCAGAGAAATCCTTTGAAAACCAGGGTATTAACTCCAAAACCATGACCCTCACTAATCGCAGATTAGCACCCAGCGCTCGCTTTCTCATCTGAAGTTGCTGTTTATTTGTTTTTGTGCGGCGAGCGCGCGTGTGGGTGTGCATGTACACGCTCTGCTAGGTAAGTGTGTCAGAACCTTCGCCTTGAATTAAATCCCCTCAAAACGGTTTCACAGTGACTAATGCAAAATCACGACTCGCGGGCCGTCTGATCAGCAGTGACAATGCAGTCACATGTTGCTCAATGACCATGCAAATGCACAGACACAAATGTAACTGGATGAGCGACTTGCGCATTTGTGTGTGTTTGTGCGATTTCACAGCTCTCTGAAGTGCAGTTTTCCACAATTAGATGCAAAGTCACATGGTCGGCAGAGAGGAAGTGCAAAAAATGACAATGGGGAAGTGAAAAAGATGTAATTGGCTGCGCTAAATAACACATCAGTTTAAAGTATGACTGCAGGGTCATATTGAAAAGACCCTTGTAAAGCACCTCTTGCTCTGTAAATATGATTTTCCAGAGAACTTTCACAGTGATTTTGCCATCTTTCTGCCAACAATAATTAATATGACATGGACTATTCAATCTAATGTGCTTATTTAAGCTTATTTCATTTAATGAAATGTTATGAAACCGCATCTAGTTGGTTGACTGGGTTTGTTTTTATGGGTCAGATTGTAAGAATGTGTGAGGCTTTCCTTTTGAAGAATGAATAAACTCAGTCCAGCATTTTTTTGTTTGAGATTTTGTTTGTTCGTCACTGAATTTTCAGTTAAAGGAGAAGCGGTCCTTTTTCAGTCTGCTTTGGGGGAAAAATGGGTTGAGGTAGAAGGCAAGAAGAAGTGAGAATTTTTTTTTTTTGTAGCAGCCAAAGAAAATGTGTTTGACAAAGCGTAACAATACAACTTGATTATATTTATTATTTGAAGTTTCCAATATGTACATACAGTGCTCAACATAATTACATAATTGAGTACACCCCATTTTGAAAATTAATATTTGTATCCATTTCTCAGTGAATATAGGCAATGTATTCTGGTGCATTTGAACAAAACATATTTATTAAACAGATATATTTATTAGAATAATATTTTGATATTTTAGTTTTTAAATTTTATGTTTATATTATATGAAACATATTTAGAAATTAAACAATAATACAGTTAAATTCAATCAAAATATTTAAAAAAATGACAACTTACAAAATTTCAACAAATTATTATTATTATTTTTTTATTAATTATTATTATTCTCTTGATTTTTTTCCCCTCTTTTTTTAAATTCATATTTAATATTTTTCTATAACAAATAAATTTGGGTGTACTAGTTTTTGGACTGTTATTTTAAGTTATTTTGTTAGATAAGCTTTAGATTTATCTGACTAATCTAATGTATGCACAAATATAATATTGTATAGCTTCCTATTAAAAATTTGAATTTAAAAGGTAGGTTTGTGAGGGATCTACTTGTACATGCTGAGCACTGTATGCTGTAAACACTAGGATTTGAAAGTCTGGGTAGTATTTACGGAACTTTTTTGGTTGTTTTTAAATGATGAGTCTTATGTTCACAAAGTTTGCATTGATCAAAAATGCAATCTTTTCATTTTCTTTTTGGCTAAGTCTCTTTATTAATCAGGGGTCGCCACAGCAGAATGAACCGCCAACTTATCCAGCATGTGTTTCACACAGTGGATGCCCTTCCAGCTGCAACACATCTCTGGGAAACATCCACACACACCCATTCGCACTCATTTACTATGAACAATTTAGCCTGTACCCAATTCACCTGTACTGCATGTCTTTGGACTGTGGGGGTAACCGGAGCACCCGGAGGAACCCACGCGAAGGCAGGGAGAATATGCAAACTCCACACAGAAAAGCCTACTGACCCACCCAAGGCTTGAACCAGCGACCTTCTTGCTGTGAGGCGACAGCACTACCCACTGCACCACTGCATCTCACCATTTAACTTTCTCCAACTAGTTCAAAACTCTTTTCAAATGAGTGGAAAAAACTTTCAGTAATTTTTAAGTTAGCTACACTCATTTCATTTGATAAAGTTGCTGTTGGGTTTTACAGTGTAGTTATTAAGTCTTTAAAATTGCACCTTAAGCTAAATACCAGTATCTTTTAATATAAGAAAAAATATTATGCATAATTAGGCAAGGGCAAAAGGAATTTGTTATTAGAAATTAGTTTTTAAAAAAATATTGTTTAAGCATGTATTGGAAAAAAATCTTCCCTCCATTAAGC